TTTTTTTTGGGAAGTAAAATTAATAAGTCAGTATGAACAGACAATAGTTGTTTAAGTAATTATGTTTTGATTTGAAAAATGAAGAGACAAAGGTATAGAGAAATGAACTCACATTCTCACGAGAGAATAATGAGATGTTGAAGTGGGATCAGTACTTTAATTTGGTGGTTAAGTTGGATCTCTAGAAAGCGGCATTATGTGAAGCAAGTTTATCAAGAATTCATGATACTAATTAAGATTAATTAGGGGTAATAATAACAATAATGTATATTTAACTGAAGCCACTCGGAGGCAATTAAGGATAGTAGTCAAATGCATAATAACATGAAATAAAGTTTATAATAAGCCGAATATGGAAAAGAAAAAAGAAGAAACAAGGAAAGGGAGAAAGGAAGGAAGGAAGGGTGAAAAGCTTATCATATTACATATTTTTGGTGAAAATGACTGTAGCGAATATGGGACTTAAGAAGAAAACACATTGAGATATTATATTTAATTTTCTAAACTTTAATGGTAAGAAAGAATTAGAACTTTTAGCTAAAATTCCAAGACTTTTGGCATTAATCACGTTATTATCTTATACGCTATTGCACATAATTAGTAAAGGTATGCCAAGGTGCATGTTAGGGGTGTATATATAGGTCGGGTTGGTTCGGATTTTTCAATTACCAAATCAAAATAATTATCTCGGATTTTTATATCTATAAACCAAATCGAACCAATAAAGTCGAGTTTTTCAATCTCGGTTTTTCTCGTGTTTCTCAGTTTTCTAGGGTTTTTCGGGTTTCTTTCCCCCGATAAAATCTTCATAACATTATATAATTTGGGCTATAATTTTCTTTGGTCCTAGTAGGATACAATATAAGACGTTATCCCAGAAAATAATACAAAATAATGTGAGATGAGTCATGACATTATACTAAATACTCATCAAGTCGCGTAAAATAAATATTACTAATTAATAAACCATAATAAAAATAAACATACTAAAAATATGAAGTTATGCTAAAATAAGTGCGACTAATAAGTACTAAATTTTAATTACATGACTAAAAAAAATAAGTTATGCATTTTCACTATCTAAACTAATGCAAAACTTAAAAAAATAGATATCCAACACTATTATCATTCCTAATATTGAATTGAATTTCTTTTGTTAGTATTAGTAATTTAGTATTGATTTGATTTTGCTTCGGGCTTTATTTGAGTTGCTAACTTTTATGGGCTATAAAACATATTTGACCATTCAAAAATACTAAATCCAAGCTTGAAATAATATATTAAAAGAGAGAACTATGAAAAAGTTTTAGAAATATTTATAAATTACACTACAAAAATTATTTTTATGTATAAAATATTTTTAAAACTTGTATACATGTAATGTCGAGTTGGTTTGGTTTCGGTTTGACTTTTTTTAGTTAAAACCGAACCAAATCAATTATGGTTGGATTTTTTTCCCTAACACCAAACCAAATCAAACCAAACCATAATCAATTTTTTTCCCGATTTGACTCGTATTATCGATTTGGGCGATTTGTTCATTCGCAGTTAATGCAATTCTTTTTTAAGATAAAAAAAGGACTAGCTAGTCCATTCAGATATTCTAATTATTTCAGTTGATAATTTGACTTGAACAGTGAACACCATGGAAATTAGCGAAGAAGAAATAGAATAAGAAGAAGAAAAACTAAAAGAGACAGTCTTTCTTATGATCTGGAACTGGCCTGTAGGTTTTTCGATTAAAGAGGCTCCAGAATATTTTAGTTAATTTGATTGACTTAAAAGAAGTCAAAGCTTTGTAGCTCTAAATCAAAGTTTTAATAGCTTTGCACATGTTCAAACGGGAACAAACCTTTTCACATAAGAAACGACATGTTTATGCCTTTTAATTTTTGAATTGTTAATTATTGTAACTTAGAATATTTATATAAATTGGGAGTTGGGACAAAAGGAGTAATAACTAATAATAAATCAGTGACCACAATGTAAAATGTTAGTAAACTGTATTTGTAAAATAATTTTGGAAAGTATAAATGAACATAAACATAAATGAAAAACAGATATAGAATTTTAATCCGAGCCCACTGAATTCATAGTGTTTTCTTAAGGAATTTAATCCCCTCTTAGTACCCAAGGTTATGGATTATTTCCTCCTAGGATAGAACGAATTACACACTGGTGTAGTGGTACTTCAAACCCCAGTGTTTCAGCGAACACAAAGTTCGGTAGCAAATCACACTTACTGTTGCTTTCTTTGAAGTTAAAAGTATGCAGAAGAAGGAGGAGAAACTCAGAAAATCGTATGAAAATTCTGAGCAGAATAGACTTGTATTTATAACCAAAGTTGGGCTGAAATATGAAGAGGTGCAACTCTTCAGAATGGTTGTTTATGCAAAATGGCCACAACATAAATGCCATAATATAAATGACTATTTACTCAACAATAAAGAGGGAAAATTAAAGAGGGTAATTTAATTTTCAGTTACACAACTGAAAAACTGATTGGGGGATTTAATATTAATATTAAAATAATATTAATATTCTATTATTAGAACAAATATTTATCCGAAGCCGAAGCCGAAGCTGAAGCCGAGCGACGACGGCGGCGGCGGCGCGAGGCTTGCCTTCTTCTCAACTCTTTAAGAGCTAGAAGAAGAGCAATTGCTTATATACCCATAAAAAACCTCTTTCTCTTCCAATATGGGACAGTGTCCCTTTGCCAAGGGGAAAAACTTAAAATTTCACTCAAAAATTTCATTTCCCTCCATTTTCCATTCACCCACTTTTAAGTATTTAATTAATATACTTAAATACATAAAACCCCAACACAAAATAGCCTGGCCGACATTTATTTTCAAGGGTCATGCAATAGATTCAAGAAAAATGCTAAACGACCACACTGGCGTGACCCAACTTTGGCCACACTAGTGAAAATACATAAATGACCCTCTAACTAATTAGCCTACATTTTTTCCTCCAAAACCCAAAATTAAATTCCAAGTCTTGAAGTATGCGAAAATTAAATGTTGGGAGATGAAGAGTCTTGTGTATTTCCCTTGTATTTATGTGTATTTTATACAAATTATACGTTTTTTAATTTTTAACAAATTATTGTATTTTCTTAAAAACAAATACGGTATACGATTTTGTATACTTCCTCCTTACCAAACCCTAAACCAGCGGACACTTTCCTCCTTGCCTATCCCTAAACCAGCGGACACTTTCTCTTCTCTAAAAATGGATTTAAACCAAGAAAATTTGGCGGTGCAACAAAATATGAATCCAAATGAACATAACACAAATACAACAACTATGAATATCAACCAAGATAATAGGTTTGATCAAGTTAGGGATGAGTTGTACAAATCTTTAGGGATGGAATCAGACGATAGTTGTTGAATGAATACGAATGGGTCGATGTTGATTCTCACGGCAGTTTGAACAATGTTGTGCACTTAGATGATGATGATGAAGAAGCCGATGCTTCTGTGCACTTAGATGATGATGATGAAGAAGCCGGTGGAAAATATCACGGAGAAGCTAACGATGATGAAGAGCGGGTTTTAGGAAATGAGTTAGAGTTATGTGATGTTGATCGGGAAATGGAGAATGAATTCACTAAAGAGGATTTTGTTGTAGGTCCAATCTCTGGAATGCGATTTAGAGATAAAGATACTTTGTTTGCATTCTACAAAAAACATGCACGACTGAGAGGATTCTCCGTCATCAAAAGAAATTCCAACAAGAAGGGTAGTGACACTGCCAGGTATATAACCTACTGTTGTGATAGGACTTGGATTCACAAAATCAAGTTTACCACCAAGAGTAACAATTGTAAAGCTAGGCTAGCTACTGTTTTGGATGATTCTGGTTGTTGGCGCATCTCTAAGGTCATTCATGATCACAATCATGATTTGCTCCCATCCGTATCGCGCATGATGGCTGGACATAGGTCTGGTTGTGATTCTTTGAAGAGGGATCTTGTAGCTCACGATCGATCTGGCATTAGACCCTCCAAGAATATTAGACTTGCTGAGGTTCAACGTGGTGGACCGCAAAATTTGGGTTGCACTCTAAAGGATTGTAGAAATTATATTTTGACGACTAGGAATTTTGAAATGAAAGAAGGGACGCACAGTCGCTGCTCAACTTTTTTCGTGAAATCCAGGTAAAGGATAGAGAGTTTTTCTATTCAATCGACGTTGATAATATTGGTAGGCTGCGAAATATGGTATAGGTGCATTCACACTGTAAGGAAGTGTATGAGCAATTCTATGATGCGATATGCTTTGATACAACGTACCTTGTGAATCGATATAATATGCCATGTGCTTCATTTGTTGGCATCAATCACCATAGACAGTCCATCTTATTAGGATGTGCTCTCATGTCTCATGAAGATATCGATAGTTACAAATTAGTTTTTAGAACTTGGCTTGATGCCATGGGAAATGTTCATCCAGATGCGATCATAACTGGTCAGTGTCAGAGCATTAAGGTAGCCATTGCTGAAGTGATACCAAATACAATACATAGTATTTGGCATATATTCTCAAAGTTGCATGTTTATTTAAGTGGTGTTCGTCCTTCTAAAATTGCACGTGCAGAATTTAAATCCATGGTCCTTGATAGCATTACTATTAAAGTTCTTGACAGAAAGTGGACAGAATATATTGCAAGGTATAATTGCATACAAGGAATTGGTTCATCAAGCTTTACTCTGAGAAGGAAAAATGGGTTCCTGTGTACCTTGATGTGTATTTTTGGGGTGATATGCTATCTACGCAAAGAAGTGAGGGGATGCATGTGTTCTTTGATGGTATAATACCCGTCAAAGCACTCTAAAGATGTTTGTTCACCAGTATGAGTTAGCTATAAGAGCTAAGCATGAGAAAGAGTTGGAAGCGGAATACAGGTCAAAGGGCTTTCAAATTGTGTGCGAGTCAATGTTCAAGTGGGAGCAGCAGGCAATTCAGTGTTATATGTGAGCACGTGATTTTTGCCCTATGAGAACTACTCCCAAAAATTCAAAATAAAATGGTTTTGTGTTGTTTGTGATTTATTTGTATCTTATCTGTGCATGTTTATTTCTACTTTAATTAAGAAAAATACAAAATACATGTTGCATGCATATTT